TGTGTGAGGCCCCACTAAGAAATATTGTGCTCTTATCTCTCAGTCTCCATGGAATAGTAAGAGCCTAAATTCAGCCTGGCATCTCCCTCCAAGATGCAGAACTACCTCCTATCAGAAAGATGTGAGAAGTTTATTTTTCCCTTGGATTAGGCTAATTAACTAGCACATTGTCACTCCAAATGTCAAGTGAATTTAAGATAAACTATGTACGATAAATGGATGTCAATTCCTCTTAAGATGAAAATTTGAGGATACAGAAAAATAAACCAAGTATCAAAAGGAAAAGTATCCACGAACAGTTGCAAAACAAGTAATTCATGAGAAACCCAGACCCTCCCCAACTGCCCCTGGCCCAATGGCCCTTCTAAAAGTAACCACAGGAGGGTAATGTGAAAGCACTGGAGAAACTGGCTTGAAGTCATGAAACTCTGCCTTGCCTCTACATCCAGTTCAGCCCCTAGTTACTGTCCCTCTATAAATATTAATACCCAAGACTAAGAGATCGCACTTTCTCTTTCTGGAGATGACTCACATTCTCTCTTGAAAGTACTTTGTTGTTTTGCCCCCAAAGTTTCTCACTCTCAAGATGACTGGTGTTAAAGCCAGTCCTGATGGCACATACCTATAATCTCAGCGGCTCAGGAAGTTGAGGCAGAAGATAGCAAGTTCAAAGCCAGCTTCAAAAATTTAACAAAGTCCTAAGCAACTTAGCAACACCCTGTCTCAAAATCAAAAATATAAAAAGGCTGGGGATGTGGCTCAGTAGTTAAGTGCTCCTGGGTTTAATCCCCAGCATGCACACAAGAAAAGATGACTGATATTCTCCCAAAATAAGACCCCTATTTCAGAAAAAGAAAAAAAAAGAATTCAAGAATGTCCCCTAAGATGTTGGACAAAATTTCAGTTAGACAAGAGAAGTATGATTTAGTGATCTATTTCATAGCATGGTGACTACAGTAAATAAGTATTGTATATTTCCAAATTTCTATAAGTATATATTTAAAATATTCTCACCACAAAAAAAAATGATACCTATGTGAGGTGATAGGTTTGTTAATTAGCTTCATCAAATCATATCATAATATCATATCAAGTATTATTTGTCAATTGAAAATAAATATATTTTTTAAATCCCTTAACAGAAATTGGAAAACTATCAAGGAAAGACAAAGAATACTGACACAGAAAGAGAGTATTTATTAATAGAAGGAAGCAGGAGTGAGATACCTGGGGGCCTACAGTCATGATCAGGTTCTCAGATATGTTTATGTCTCTGGAAAACCTGGGAGTATGTTTACACATGCAGATTCCTTGCTCTGCCCGATGTCTCCCCCAAGGTTCTAGTTCGCTGGATCTGGATGGGACTCTGCAGTTAGTTATTTTTTAAAAGCTCTTCATCCAGCAGTTCAGGAGGCTGAGGCATGAGGATTGTGAGTTCAAAGCCAGCCTCAGCAACTTAACGAAGGCTTAAGCAACTCAGTGAGACCCCGTCTCTAAATAAAATATTTAAAAGGGCTATGGATATGGCTCAGTGGTTAAGCACCTCTGGGTTTAATCCCTGGAGGAGGAGGAGGAGGAGGAGGAGGAGGAGGAGGAGGAGGAGGAGGAGGAGGAGGAGGAGGAGGAAAAGCTCCTTGTGTGATCCTGATGGGGAAATAGATTCACACACAATTGGTTCAGATAAATGTTACATTATATACTGTATTTTGAGAAGGTAATTTCCCCCAAAGTTATTTTAACCATTTGTTCAGTAGATATTTACTAAGTAACTACAATGTACTGTACATACACATTGGTTCTTGCTTTATCAATTTTTACAATAAATTTTATTGGGTATCATTTCAACATTGCATTTATGTTATTGTTCCACAAAGATTAAAATTCTAAAGGAGAAAATGTACATACCATTCTAGACTCTCTTTTCTACCCTAATCATAGTAATCTGATTCTTCTAATTTTTTTCCTCTGGGGAAGTATTATTAGTTTCTTCTATTTCAGAAATTTTTTATTTATGGATACATGTATTTATATGTATAGTTAGTGAAGATTAAAATAGTTACTCAAAAGCCATGCACACACACACACACACACACACACACACACACTTTTTTTTTTACAAATATATATGTAAAATGTACATTATATAATAGATATGTAATTTAATATAATTATATTCTCTTTTTTTGTGGTGCTGAGAATGAAAACCAGGGCCTCATGCTTCTTACATTCTACCACTGAGCTACACTCCCAATCCAGTACAATTACATGATTTTTTGATTTATAATTTGTATAATATGTAATCTATAATTATGATATATAACTAGCATGTGATATAACATGTTAAGTAAGTTGTACATATATACATGCTACACACACTTCTGTGTATTGCCTCTTTCATTATATTTTTAAGCAATATTATTTAAAATACTAAGTCAATATATAAAAAGTAATCTCATTCTGTTTCTAATTTGCATAATTCCATTGTAAAGTCATTCTTTGCTGATGATTAGACTTTTACAGTTTTTTTCTACTTCTAGTCGAAAATAAATCTATGCCTTATATATTTTGCATATGTGCAAATATATCTATAAGATGAATTCCTAGAAGTAGAACTGCTCAAAATGTATCTTTATTTTGAAAAGAGCTCTTTGTCCTCTGAATGCAGCTTTTCTGTAGCATTTTATTCTTGTTTTATTAAATATTATTTTCCTTATTCATGTTGAAAATAATTTTTTAAAAACTTGTTTCCTTGAAGAGTCTCTTTCTTAATTCATATTGCTTTGCTGATTTTCCTTTTCTTAAGTGTAGAAAATATTTTGGTTGTCTGCTGCTTGGTTGTGAGGTATCAAAAAACTAGGGTTCTCTGAGTATGTGGGTAGGGCATGTTAACTAAGGCTTTACTTTGAGTGATATAAGGTTTTTACAAAGTTTTACAACATTAATATCTTTAGATATTTCCTGGTCCACATCTGTAGTCGTGGGGAGGGGTTCTTTTAATTTCTTTCCTGAAGAGAATAAATATGGCTATGAGAGCTAACAGGGAGAAGAAGGCAGGAATTTCACATTTATCACTTTTCTGTTAATGTTCAGGGCACCAACACCTTCCCTGGGGAATCTGTCTTGTGTTTTTTTTTTTTTTTTTTTTTTTTTTTTGCCAGGGTAAGGGAGGGGCAAGATCCACCTGTGTGGAGTGGGGAGAGATTTGTACACTAGTGTGTTTCTATTGGAGACACCAATACAAGTTGAGGTGAAGGTGAGACCATATGGATGGCAAAAGCCGCCATCCATATGGTCTCACCTTCACCTCAACTTATATTGGTGCCTCCTGCCATCAATTCTTGAGCCCTTGTATCAGTTCTCTGGTTACTGTTCTTTTTCGCCACTGTCAGTGTAGAAATTAGCCTTTTAAGGTCTGCAAGTAAGTTATCATGTGTCCAACCACTTCTAGTGTCTAAAAGAATGTTTTAATTAACTTTTCATTGTATCCGTGGTTACTGTCATTTTGTGAGATTTTTGGAGGTAACAGTGACAGGTATATCTAATCATTCATTTTAACCCAGAACTGGAGTTCTTTAGTCCCTAAGTATTTAGGTTAACTGTTGTAATTCTCAGGCTAATGAGATGGGCTATCCCTAAGAAACTCTAGGGTTATCCTTAAGGCAAATTGTCTCTCCTTTCCCTGCCATGAAGACAGAATTCTTTCTGCAAATATGGTTTTGTCTGTGTGATTCTTTGCTCCATTTCTTTTCCTCTGCTGCTTGGAGTAAACCACGTCCTGAGAGATTCCTTGCAGTAGCCTACACATCTGTATCTGCTAGAATGAAATAACAATTTTAATTTTGCCCCTCTCTTTGAAGAGGGTGTCCTGGTGTCCTTTTTCTACTTTCTCCTTCACCCCTGCCCAGTCTTTACTTGTTTTTCCCTTCTAGACAGTTTGTGTTTTCTGTTTTAAGTATTACAACGTTGTGTAGCAAGAACTATAAATCTGCTCTTGGTCTCCCTACTGCTTTTGGGGGATTTCTGAAAGAACACCAATTCTATCCTTTCATTTTCATAATATTTTTTTGTGGTGCTGGGGATTGAACCCAGGGCCTTCTGCATGAGAAGCAAGCACTCTACCAACTGAGCTATATCCCCAGCCCTAATATTTTAAATGTGATCACATGGATTTTACACATTAATTTTATGAAGAATTTAAAAGCACACAATGTTGAGCCAGGAATATCTGTAGCTTTTTTCAGTCCTTTAAAATTGTTTTTCACTAAAGTTTCATAATGTTTAACTTTAGGGTTCTTTCCTACATTCATTATAACTTATATAGCTTTTGTTGCAATTGTGAATAAGATATTCTTGCTTTTTCAGTTACATTTGTTAATTGGTAGGTGTTATTTATGAGAAAGCACATGATTTTTGTGTGTTGAGCCTATGTACAGTGTAACTTTATTTTAAAATTTAAACCATACCTCTATATTTTTACAGAAAATATGTAAAGTACAAAGAAATTAAGAGGAGCTAACCTTTATTTACTACCTAGAAGAAATCACACTGTTAATAACTTAGCATATTTTCTTCCAGCCTTTAGAAACACTTAAGAATACTCAGTAAATTTTTTGTAATCTATGAAAATGTCATAAATATATAATGACTAAATATTGTTTTACCATGTGACTATATCATAATTTACTTAGTTATTTCTTTATGTTGGGCATTTGGGTTGTCTCCAATTTTTCTTTTACTATGTTTCTTTAAAAAAAAAAAACTTTAAGCTTTCATATCTGAAAAAAAAAAATCCCTCTGCCTAAGTTTCCCCATTTGTGAATTGAAGATAATGATCATCCTTTTCTGAGGATGTACCAGTGTGTTCATCTTGATGTCTGGCATGTAAGAAATACTCCAGTAATGTCAGTTGTTATCAATTTTAAACTACTAAGCATTTCTTATGTTCTCAATTCAATTACTTCTGTCATCCTATATTATAATATGTCATTTCAATTTAAGACAATAAAACTGAATTGCCCGGTTCATGTGGTTAATAAATTTTGCTGCTTAAATACTTTTCCTGAAAACAAACAAACAAAAAACCAAACACATTCTTGATTGTGTGCCAAAGAAAAGAACAATTTCTAGCAGAGGCAGAAGCAGTTTCCCACATATTAAAGAGCTTAAAATTAATTTCTTAACTATTACAGAAAGTCCTAAAACTTAACAACCATCATCACCTGCATTTTTCTTAAAGGCTCCACACATTTTTTCCTAAACCAAGTCACATTTTAAAAGAACAACACATTGGGCAAAGTTGCAACGTCCTTCGTACTGTTACACTAAGTGTAAACCTTCTGCTTCCAGATCCCTACCATCTCTCCAGTGCCTTGCAGGAACAATGGCCTGGGCAGGAAACCAGACTTTCATCTCCCACTTCATCCTCCTGGGCCTCTTCACCCAGTCGCCATTACATCTCTTCCTCTTCTCCATCATCATGATAATGTTTCTGGTGGCCCTTTCTGGCAATGGGCTCATGATCCTCCTCATCAATGTCGACTCCAGCCTCCACAGCCCCATGTACTTCTTCCTCAGCTGGCTGTCACTCATGGACCTCATGCTCATCTCCACCATTGTGCCACGGATGGCCGCCGACTTTCTGCTTGGCGGTGGCTCCATCTCCTTTACAGGCTGTGGACTCCAGATCCTCTTCTTCCTCACCCTCTTGGGGGATGAATGCTTCCTGTTGGCCTTCATGGCCTACGACCGCTACGTGGCCATCAGCAACCCACTGAGGTACTCAGTGGTTATGAGTCGCCGAGTCTGCTGGCTCATGGTGGCGGGATCCTGGCTCTTTGGACTGGTGGATGGGCTGATCCAGGCTGTCTTCACCCTCCGCTTCCCCTACTGCGGTTCCCAGGAGATAGACCACTTCTTTTGTGAGGTCCCTGCAGTGCTCAAGCTGGCCTGTGCTGACACCTCCCTCTACGAGACCATGATCTACGTCTGCTGTGTCCTCATGCTGCTCCTGCCTTTCTCTGTCATCTCGGCCTCCTACCTGCGGATCCTGGTGGCAGTGCTCCGCATGCGCTCTGTGGAGGGCCGGCAGAAGGCTTTTGCTACCTGCTCCTCCCATATGACCGTGGTCTCCCTCTTCTATGGGGCAGCCATGATTACCTACATGCGACCCCAGGCCTACCACTCCGCCAAGCAGGACAAAGTGGTCTCTGCCTTCTACACCATGATCACCCCCATGCTCAATCCTCTCATCTACAGTCTGAGGAACAAGGAAGTGGCCGGGGCTTTGAGGAAACTCCTGGGAAGGTGCCCCTGTGGGCACTAAATTGATGTTGCCATCTGATGATGTGGGCTCTGCAGCCAGGTGACCAATTGTAGTTTGATTAGAAGAGAAACAGATGTGACCTACTGAAAAAACAACTTTCTGATCAGAGTTAATCAAATTAACACATCAATTTAATCTATCATGCTCACACTGAGTATGAAAGGCTGGGCCTACCAGGTTACAAAGAGCGGAAGACCGAAGCTACCAGGAGAGTCAGCAGGTAACAGCTGTTTTGTCCTTCTCCAGGAAATACCCATGACTGAGGACAGCCACCTTGTCCCAAGTCTTGCCCTTTTCTTTGGGGTCTTTCTGCATTCCATTACTTTAGTTTCCTAAATAGCTGGAATTACAGGCATAAACCATTATGCCTGGTGGAATCTATTTATTTATTTATTTTCTAAAAAAAAATTATTTATTTATTTTTTAGGTGGACACAGTATCTTTATTTTTATGTGGCGCTGAGGATTGAACCCAGTGCCTCATGCATGCTAAGTGAGCACTCTACCCTGAGCCCCAGCCCCAGCCACTTCTAATACTTTTCTGATATTAAAAGTCTCACCGAATTTTTTTATGATTAATGTTTGCAGTGTATATCTTTGTTGTCTATCCTATTATTTTTAAAGTGAGTTTTTATGAAAGTAGCACATTATAGTTTTTTAAAAATAACTTGGTCTGTCAACCTCTTTCAATTGAAGTGTTCAGTCCATTTATATTTAGTGTAACTATTTCTCTGATTGGACTTAATTCTACCATTTTACTCTTAAGTTTCCACTTTTATTAACTGTATTTGTCTCCAATCACTTTTTCCTACTTGCATTCTTTTGGACTAATCAAAACAATTATTTGGTATTCCATTTTATCACTCTGTTGACTTATTTTTCCTGGTACTAGAGATTGAATCCAGGGGTGTGCTACATCTTTAGTCCTTTTCCTTTTTTATTTTGAGACAGAGTCTAAGTTGCCAAGACTAGCCTCAAGCTTGAAATACTCCTGCCTTAACCTGCTAAGTCACTGGGACTACAGATGTGGGCCTCTGCACCCAGTCCTTTATTGACTTTTAAATTTATTTTTAACTTTTAAATATATTTTTAAACATTTAAAATATATTTATAAATATATTTCTTGGGCTGGGGATGTGGCTCAAGTGGTAGCGCGCTCGCCTGGCATGCATGCAGCCCGGGTTCGATCCTCAGCACCACATACAAACAAAGATGTTGTGTCCGCTGAAAACTGAAAAATAAATATTAAAAATGAAAATATATATATTTATTAAATATAACTTTTAAAAATTTTATTTTAACTTTTAAATATATTTTTAAATTTATTTTTATTTTTGGAACTGGGGACTGAACTCAAGGGTGCTTTGCCACTGAGATACATACCTAATCCTTTTTTAAAATTTTGAGACAGGTTCTTACTAAATTGCTGAGGGTCTTACTATATTTATGAGACTGATCTTGAACTTGTGATCCTCTGCATCAACCTCCCAAGTTGTTGAGATCACACGCATGCACCACCATGCCTCACTTTTTTTTTCATTCTTGAATTATTTTTTTCTGGTTATAAAATTTTTGGTTGACAGTTTTTATTTCTTTCAGTATTTAAAATGTAATTCCATTGGTTCTTTTCTCTGTAATTTCTGATGAGAAGTCAGCTGTATATTTTAATGGATATGCTTGTAACTTTATCTTGTTTTCTTAGTCAATTCAAAGATTTTGTCTGTATCTTTGATTTCAGAAACTTGATAATGATGTGCATTGGTGTAGTTTTCTTTTTATCATTCTACTTGTATTTCCCTGAGATTGTTTGATCTGTCTGTTGGGATATAGTCATAATTTTGGAAAAAAAATTTAGGTTTACCAAGTTTTTTTAAATCTTTCCTTTTCTCTTTCATAGACAAAAATGATAGATTGACATTGTCTCTCATACAGTTTTATTTTCCCACTCATTTGTCTTTTTGTGCTTTGATTTTGGGATTTCTATTGACTAGTTTACCATTCAGGGATCAGCATTCTATGACCCACAGATCAAATATGGTTCAATGGCTGTTTTTATAGTTTTACTATTTATTTTATAGTTTTAGATATTGTGTAAGGCTGTTTTTGTGCTAAAACAGCAAGAGTTGAGTAGTTGTGACAGAGAGCATATGATTTACTAAGCCTAAACTATTACTATCTAGTTTTTTTTTTAAGAAAAATTTTGTCCACCTCCATTTTAGGTCACTGAATTTCTTGTTTTATGTTTAAGATACTATTGATCCCATTCAATGATTTCATCATTTTAGATATTGCATTTTTAGGTATAGGACTTCAATTTTATTCTTAAGGTTTCCATTGCTATATTATAATTCTCCATCTGTTCATCCATTCTCATTGTCTTATCCTCTAAATTTATTAAAGTATGATCTATTTCCAAATCTGTGTCATCTATATGTCTATTTGTATTAATAATGCTTTCTGTTGACAGGTCACATTTTTATGGTCTTTTTTCATGTTTTATAATTTCCTATTGGGAATTTTGAATAAAAGAAAACACTGCAGACTGAATTAGATAATTTTTTCTGTTTATTTTCTTTTCTGAGAGAGAGAATACCCTTCCTTTTGTCAGGCAGCTGTGATGAGATTTAGATCCCACCATTAACAGAGCTGAGTTGGAGGTTTGGCCAATTTCAATTCTGTTTTAATATGAGACTATTGGTCTCCAATCCAAACTTTGACTTCTTATATTTCCTCTCAGCTAAGGATATTTATTTACTCATATTAGGATTTCAGTTAGGAGGGGGTTGAATTCCACTATAAATTCACATCTACATTCACCTCTACCAGTGCCCTGGCTAAAGTGTGATTAGGAGAGCTCCCTTCTATTTTTAGTGCCATCTCTACTGTCGATTAGCAAAATTTCTCTGTGGAGGAATTATTCAAGATACTTATATTCATATTGGGGGACTTCTAGATTCTAATTTGACATGCCAGTCCACATTGCCATTAATAGTTCATCTAGTTTTTCTTGCATTTTATCTGAGAATACAAAAAGGTAAATTTTGGGGAGGGTAACTTATTTTTCAATTTTTAAAATTGATTCATTATTATTTTACAGAATAATGGGATTCATTGTCATATTTTCAGATATACACATAATTTGGTCAATTTCATTCCCAAGATCTCCTCTTTTGGAGGATTTACTTCTTTCTCCTTATAGACCAACCCCATTTTCAATGTTATAAAATGTGTATAAGGAATATGAGAGGAACTTTTAAAAATTAATTTATTTATTTTAATTAAGTATATATGACAGCAGAGTGCATTTTGAATCAGTGTACACAATTGCAGCACTACTTTTCATTTCTCTGGTTGTATATGATAATGCATAACACCATATGTGCAGTCATACATGTACCTAGGGTAATGATGTCCATCTCATTCCATCATCTTTCCTGCTCCCATGTCCCCTCCCCGCCCTCACTCCCCTTTGCCCCATCAAAGCTCCTCCATTTTTCCCTTGTTCCCCCACTATTGTGAGAGGGGTATTATTTATAGCCAATGACTGTGAAGTCATGAGCACAATCTAATCGACCTCTGAAGGAATATGTCTCCTTGGTGCCTTATCTCATCTCACACACTCATCAGTATTATCCCATGATAAGTGGTTGTTGACTCAATTTAACAGATGAGAGGAGCTGGAGATATAGTTTCATGGAAGAGCATTTACCTAACATGCATGAAGCCCTGGGTTTGATCTCCAGCATTCCCATACACACAAGGAAATTATGACACATGTGTCATACATGTATATAAGGTAGTGTAATCATGTAAATAAGGTAATAATGTCCATCTCATTGCACGATCCTTTCCATCCCCATACCCCTTCTCCTTCCCTCACTCCCTACACAATCCAAAGTTCCTTCATTCTTCCCCACCCATCCCACCATTATGGATTAGCATCCACTTATCAGAGAAAACATTTAGCCTTTGGTTTATTTGGCTTAGAATGATATTCAGCTCCATCCATTTACCTGCAAATGCCATAATTTCATTCTTTAAGGCTGAGTAATATTCAATTGTGTATATATACCACATTTTCTTTGTCCATTCATCTGATGGAGGGCATCTAGGTTGGTTCCATAATTTATTGTGAATTAAGCTGCTGTAAACATTGATGTGGCTGCATCACTGTAGTAATAATTTTAAGTCTTTTGGGTATAGTCTGGGACAGCTGGGTCAAATGGTGGTTCCATTTAAAGTTTTCTGAGGAATCTCCATACTGATCTCCATCATCAAATTGTTGCTACAATTTGCAGTCCACCAGCAATGTATGAGTGTATTTTTCTCCCCACATTCTCACCACCACCTATTGTTACTTGTATTCTTGATAATTGCCATTCTGACTCGAGTGAGATGAAATTTTAGTTTTGATTTGTATCTCTCTAATTAACTTTCTAATTTTCTAGTCCTCATTTAAAGAAAACGTCTTGCATGATTTTATGGACCTCTTTTGGGACAACTATTGCGGTGATTTTTAATTTTCCCTGGAGGCCTGTCGGGGAGGATGGAGGTCTTCCTTTTTTTTTTTTTTTTTTTTTTTTGAAAATTTGCTTTCCTTAAATGTTGATCTTGCATCAGATAAATGATTCTGTTTTTACTGTCTTCTTTGAATTGAAACAGAATTGAGGACAACGTTTAGTACTGGAACTGAAATAATTGAGAAAGAAAGTCCTGAAGTGACTCCTCCTCGCTTTTCTGTTGTCCTGGTGACAATAAATACCTATGGTACTGTTATGTGTAGTGAAGAAAAATCATGGTGATGTCTGGCTTACTTTTTAAAATTTTGTAAAAACTTTGTAAAAAACTCTCCCACACCCACTTCTGAACCCTCACCTTCCTCACAGCACACATACATACTTGGGGCTGATCAGTCTGTCCACAGCCAGAGCAGGGGGAAGATAGGTGTCCCAGGACAGCAGCCCCTTCTCTCCAGGGTCATATGATCATGATGTCTTGCCCTAACTGAAGAGAGTGGGGTTCAGATCTGGAAAATGAGGTGGAAATGAAAAGAGAAAAAAGGAGGCCCCCAAATTCTTACCACTCCAGCTGCCTTATCGTAATCAAAGCTCCTTCCCACCAAGACAGAATGACATTAGACAAGAAATATAGGGAGTTTCCTGTGGTAGGGAAGCCAGGAAGCCTCTTGATGCATAATTTCTGTCTAATCTCTGCAATAAAAAACAAGTAAACAGCCCAGCCTGCTGGACCAGCACCTTTGGGAAAGCCACGGCCTAAGTTGCAGCTGAGGGTGGCACAGATCCAATCTCCTAGACATGGCATCC